CTTGCACAAGATATTGTGGCCACTAATTAAAACATTTTCTATTTTTTTAAGTAAATTGATGTATACTACGCATCTTTGATAGTTGATAACCACTTTTAGGTTGAGAGCTGACATTGACAAGAATTAGTGGGTTTGAACTTTAGTTAAATTTGTTGCCATGGTCAAGACAAGCAGAAACAAAGGAACATGTATGTCATGTCAAATAGTCCATCAATGCCTCCATAATTCACTTTGTCTTGTGAATCCAAAATTTCAGATCCATCCCATAATGCTCTGAATAGAAGTCTTGTTGAGATATCAGGGACTATATTGATGGTGCTAAAACATTATTATTTTTTAATCTAAAATGACATATATTAACTCCTTGAATTGACAAGCGGATCCAACCGGCAACCTCTCACTTGTAAAATTTTTTTTCATGCACTGGATTATGGTGATTATATAGTATGATAAAAATAAGATCCAAGTTTGATATAACGAACCGAACTATATTTATATCACAAGAAGAAAGAAAAATGGATTTGCTCAGTCAAATGCTAGTTGGTGTTGAACCTGAATCTGAGCTATAGCTTAATTAAGTCTCACTTGAAGATAATATTAACCATCAGGTTATGATATAATGTTATTAAAACGGACCATTATTTATTATCTTTTTAGAAAAATTGTAACCATCCTGTTGACACCATTGGGTCACAATTTCATGATTAATACATCTGAATTGGAGCTTGATTGAAAGAGGTTCAACTGAGGACATGTTATAACATATTGTATTATTTAAAACCATGCTATTTTATATTTGATATGATATTGGGCAATATAAAAATTAACCTCTTTAACGAAAGTATCCTTCACCTATAAAAATATGTTTTAGTAAAAAATTAACATTTTTACTTAAATTATCATTAACATAATAATTTTTAAAAATTATTTTCATTAATATCAACTTTAGGAAGTTTATACGTATTTTGCTTGCTTAATATTTTACTTTTAGGGAACCCAGCTAAATTATGTTTTCTCATAAATAAATTTAGTGATTTTAATATTGGTGGAATCATATTGTTTTTCAATCAAGTGGAAGCAAATCACATACTTTTTTATGAGGAGCTCATTCTTAGTTTTCCTATACCAAATAATTTTATAATAGGGCCATAATATGTAGGCTCAATTATACTGTATATTATGGGCTCCAAATAAGTGATAATTCCATAACCTATTTTATTAACTTATACTATAATTAGTTTTTATATGAAGTATTAAACACATTCTTAATATATGAACTCTGTAACAAAGTCAGTATTGTATTGTTCGTAGTCTGAAAAATCTCCACCTAGATACTCCCACGTGGGCAAATGATGTCCACTGGCCCCATGCATATAAATATATATATATGTATATATATACATATATAATTAAATATTATATCCTAGGTCAGGGAATATTCACTTCTTTATGACTTATCACATTGGGACATTGGCCAGAATATTATATGCATGGGCCATGGGGCCAGTGGTCAAATCATCGAACCTTTTACCCCGTCTTCACTCGTGTGCTTCCACGGAATAAATTTGGAATGTTTCAAGATTTAAAATAGAGCTTCTTTTATTATTTTTTTATAAAACAATTTCCAAAATACTACCTCCGATCCTTATTATAAGACTCCATTTGACTTTTTGTTTGGTCCTAATTATAAGACCCCAATCCATTTTGTCTCTCATATTTATGCATTTTTTCCAAGATAATCCTTGTAATAATGATAGTTCTAGCCAATATACTTAATTAACAAGGATATTTTAGGAATGACAACACTTATTTATTACAAATAACTAACTTAACTTGCTTCCTTAATCTCCTCAAATAAATCAACTGGGTCTTATAATTAGGACCGGAGGTAGTAATATTTAAAATAATTTAAAATATTCTAAGGCGTAATCATGTTTCTCAATTGACTAGTTTTATACCTTATCCTTCCCTTCCTTTTCACTTATATATATATATATATATATATATGTATATGTAATTTAATTTGTTCTATCTCATATACACATGCATGATGCATGCAACTATTTATGGCTACTACTACCTCCGGTCCTAATTATAAGACCTTGTTCATAGACTATAAATGGAGTCTTATAATTAGAACCGGAGGTAGTATTTTCTACTTATGACGAGGGGGGAAGAAGAAAATGAAAGTACCTATAAGTAGGGAAAATATTGAAGGGGTGTTTGAAAACTTTCGAAGCACTTAAAAAGAAAAAAGCTTTTTTATAAGGTAGGATAAAACTCTTCTCATATACTTATTTAAATTTTATAAAATTGCTTTCAAAATGCTCGTCTAGATACCCCCAAATCGAATAGAATTTTGAAGATTGGGCTTAGGTTCAGATCACCAACTTGCATTGTGCTTTCATGTTCCACTTAGCCGACCACACCTTATTAATTAATTAATCGGGAGAATTATAATGAGACCCCAAAAAAAGCAAAAAATTGCAAAATAAATCTTAAAAATTGTCATTTTTCACATTATAAGCTGTTTAGATTGTTACGAGAATTTTTTAGGACTCCTCCAGTCCTAAATATAAGATCTATTTTGTAGTGTAATTTATGCTATAAAATGAGTTTTGTATTTAGGATCGAGGAAGTAATTATTTCTTTTTTTTTTGGACTTGATTGTAATTTTTTCTAATTAATTTCCAGTGGACAGACTGTACCAGATTTCCAATTTCATTTCTTTAGTTAGAAAATAAACCTGCGTTGTCTGAAACGGACTGACCAGGCCGCGTATCCCGTTCAAAATACGCTAATTAAAACGGGGGAAAAATCGATGGAAAACTGGTCTGAACCCTTTTATTTCTTAAAAAATAATTAAGAACCGAAAATTATATTATTTTGGATTTTTGTTGGTTGATTTTTTTGTTGTTGTAATATATATATATATATATGTTTGATGATTTATATTCTGGTTAATCATGAAAACTACTTGTGCTACTTTGGGTGGTTAATTAATCTAGTGAGAAAATCATGCAACAATATTCCCTATACGCGTCGCATGCACTTGCTTCAAGAAGATATATGATTATTGTGGTGGAAAAGGGCAGGTTAATTTTGGCCTTTGGAACAAAGATCCTTGCATTGCATGCCCTGATTAGCTAGGTTACCATATATGATCTCTTGATTCTGAAAATGATTATGGTCCCACTAAATATATGTATGAGTGGACATCTAAACACGAAATGGATGTCAGGCGCAAAAAAAAAAATCGAAATGGATGTGATAGGGGACAACACCGTTATTATTATTGTTGTTGTTATTATTATTATTATTATTATTATTATTATTATATATATATATATATTATGGGAGGACCATGGTGATAGGTGTGTTGGGTCAAATAAAATTTGCAAATAAAGGATTACTTTAATTATAAATAATTGTTATTTTGGCAAGTCACTATTGATATTCTGTTTCTATTGTGACATTCACTTTTAATTTGTTTTATTACATACGTGTGAGTTGTATGAGATCCTTATTCAGTGCTCATCATTGTAACACAATTCAAACCATCCAAAATCTAATATGGATTGTTTAGATTTAAAATTTTTTAGTAATAAATTTAATTTTTAAAGAAGTGTGAGTTATAAGATTTATTTATTTTAAATTTGGTATCTATTAAAAAAATTAATTGAAATATAAAAAAATTAAATTCAATCTGCAATGAGCATGGAGTATGCTCCCGTAGCATATGCTTACCGTGTCTTTAGCTATAACTTCAGATCAACCATGCTACAAGTGGTAGTATATTGCTTAACAGTAAACCGTTCAAGGTTTTGGATTCCGATTCCAGGGTTATCTTCACCCCACAAGTTGATTGTTCCTGTGTAGGTCACACCAAAATAGAGAGGATCGATTCCCACGTATGAGGTTCACTAAGGTATTTAAAAAAACTTAATTGAGGAACAGAGATTATATTAATATTTTCTTTTCAGGTTTATTCTCTTAATTTTTTTGCACAATTTAAATTAAGTTTTCTTACTCGCCAAGATATGTAGGCAAATCTGGTTAGTGGCCCTATATCCCTAGAAGCAAAAGCAGAATTAAATTCCTGTGTTCTCCATCGTTATATTGTTGCCTGCGTCTTCTCTCTTTTCGCTAATCTCCATAAACAAACAAATAAATAAATACACCTACAATATGAGTTCAAATTGAAATACCAGAATTTAAATTAAGTTTTTTTCTATGCGAAGATAAATGTCGGCATTTTTACCACCTTAATTAAATGGATGGAGGAGAATATTGTTTTGAAGAGCTAGAGAGGCACGGCCAAGGTCTTATACAACGATGATTATGGATGCATCCAAATTGCAGAAATCATACTTTTTAGATATTATATAATCATGGTTTTTTCCAATCCTCAAACAACCTTTTTTGGAGTAGAAACAAAATACCATTAACTCCAGAAGAGGGGGAAAAAACTATAAAACTACAACAGATAGGGATTAGATTCTTTTATCAACATCCATCTCAACTAGAAAAAAGGTGGAGGATCATCAAAGATGTAATAATTCCCTTCAAAGCTATGGGACATCTTGATTATATAATCATGCTTACATGATTCTGCTTTGACTTTGTACAATCACACACGCACATTTATCATCGTCAAACTATATAGTGTGTGTGTGTGTGTGTGAGACAAGCATTGGGGGCATTAAATCAAATGGGTCCTAAAAGTTAAAAGAATATAAATTCTGCTATATATCCTGCTTTAAATATGGAATAACAATACGCACAATTACTGCAAAGAGATATAGATGGTATAAAATCCACAATATATATATATCTGTATGTATGTATGTATGTATGTATGTATCACATTACTTACATAAGCCATTACATAAACATATATACCATAGATGCAACATAAGAGTAAAACAGAAAATAAAGAGAAAAATACAGAAAACAGACAACATTAAGCCACTACTGCACCACAGATGGCTGCAGGCTTTCTACTCGGACTTCGACTTGTACGCCTGCTCACGGAAGTTCAGAAAGTGGAACAGAAGCCAAGCATAGAAGAAGACGTTGAGGATCCAACCCCAGACTCCGGAGCAACCAGGCCCGAAAAAGTGGCACCCCAGCATGAGGGCCAAAGCGCCGAAGCTGGCTCGGAACTGAGCGATCTGGCACTCCGTCACCAACCTCTTCCATTTGGGACGGACCCCGAGTACGCACAATAAGTAGTAGGCGTACATCAGCACGTGCACGGAGGCGTTGGTCACGAGCACCACCGGGAACAGCGACTGAGACGTCCAGAGCCAAACGTAGCACATGTCGACCACGACGGCGTGGTGGGACACGTGGAGAAGGGTGAGGCGTTGGGTGGAGTCTGACAAGAGGATCAGCAGAGTGTCGAGGAATTCTAGGATCTTGGAGAGGTAGAAGACGTAGGCCCAGAAGAATACGGGGCCGGAGGGTGGGGTGTCGGGCGGGAAGCAGATGATCCAGTGGAGGTCAGGTGCATTGGACACGGTGGACAAGGTGCAACCGAGGGCCATGATGAAGGAGAGCAGGAGAATGACAGTGTTATAGACGGCGGTGATGGGTTTGAGGATGGGCGGAGGAAGCCTGAGGCGAAAGACACGAGTGAGGAGGAAGATGATAAATAAGTAACAGGCGTCGGTGATGAGGGGAAACTGAAAAGATGAAGCTGGGGTCTCGTTGGGAATCCATGTGAAGTTCTGAATGGCAGGTTGGTTCACTAGGTAGTACATTAAGAATGCTGAAAGCTTCATGATGTTCGCGGGAAAACGCAGAAACGAGGAGATCGATGAACGAAAAAAGCCCAGGCTTGGAATGGGACGGATGGAGGTGTGAGGGCAGAGGGCGTCCGCGGGGGTCGTATATATGGCCACATTCATCGTATTATTATGAATGGGCCGGGCCTGAAGTTGGTGAGCCCAAAGCCTAGAAACTTCATAGTGGGGTGGAAGCTTAGGCCGTACGCCGAGGAGTTCGGCTTTTCTCTGCTACCTTCCCCCCCTCCACTCCCTCTCTGCCCTTTTTATTCATTACCATGGGTCAAATCTCAATGATCCAGATTTAAATTTTTTAATAAAAATTATAATTTTATTTTAAAAATACAATAATACATCTGAACTGTTAAAGTATAGCTTTTAAATATAAAATCTAGTTTTTAGTACAAATTAAACTCCAAACTAGATTTAAAAGTAGAGGTAGTGTTTTGTTTTGTTTAAAAAACATTAGATTAAGCGAGATGGTAGAGCGAGAAAGTGAGGCTGAGCGAGAAAGTGTGTACCAAGGACTTCCGATTAACCAAGGAAGACCACCGGATGGAAAATCAGGAACGGAAAAGGAAGATGAGCCTATGCTGGAACAGAGACATGAGCAACCTGATGCGGGAGAAAAGGTGGATAAGGATGTTAAGATGAGCGAAGAGGGAGTACCAGAGATGAAAAATGATAAAAGGCAATACCAGGAGGAGCTGAAACAGGGGGGGAAAACTCAAATATCCTATAAAAGCAAACTTCTGGGTCGAGATGAAATAGAAGTGGATAGGGATTTAGATGATCAATTCAAGGAATGGCTTGCGGAGGAGGAGGAGGTCGCCCCTAACCTCACCGAGGAGGAGAGACAGTTAATGGAGACGCTACCAAGATTGAAGATGGATGACTCCAGACTGAGGGAGCTATGTCGACCATGGAAGGACGCCCTTATACTGACTGTGATAGGAGCTGAGGCTAATTTGAAGGGTATGAAGGATAGGATTTCGTGGCTGTTCAGAACAAGAAATTATGAACTAATTGATTTGCCTAAAAACTATTTTGTTCTCAGAACAGAGGATAAAAACCTCTGTAGAAAACTCATGTTTGAAGGCCCCTGGCTATATCACGGACACTACATAGCTGTTCAGAGATGGAGTCCGAATTTCAATCCGTATTGTAACAAGGTGAGAAAGGTAGCCATTTGGGTCAGAGTACCTATGCTGCCAATGCACTGCTACTCCGAGGAGTGTATGTGGGAACTAGGAAACTTGATAGGCAAAGCTCTCAAAGTCGATATGAATACACTAGCCCAGTCGATTAATAATGGGAATCACACTGTGGAGCGTGGCAAGTTCGCTAGAGTCAGTGTGGAGGTGGATTTGAATAAGAAGCTACAAGCCAGATTTGTTCTCAGGCGAACAATTTATACTGTGGAATACGAAGGCCTTGATGCGATTTGTTTTAAATGTGGGGTATATGGTCACAAGCAGGATCACTGTTCTTTAAACACAGAGAAAAGGGAAGAAACGCCGGAGCAGAGTGCTATGCCCATGGACGGCGATCACCATGACAGCCACCGGAAAGGAAAGCATACGTTGTTCAGCGTGCCAGGCGTTACTCCTGATGAACCGTACGGGGACTGGATGAAAGCGACAAAAATTTTTAAACGGCGGCCATCAAAAACGGAAGGGGAGAAGCAGACTCAAGGTAAAGCAAGTGCTGGCAGCAGACCTATGGCAAGAGATCAGAAAGCTACACCTGGAACTAGATTTGACGTCCTGCAAGACATGGATAATCTGGTCAAGTCAGCCGAATCAGAGGCGGGAAGCAAGAACAAGGAAACTGTGAAAGAATGGAGGAGGAAAGAAAGCACAGCTGATACACAAAAAAGGAATGCAACCGCAAGGGAGAAAAAGAAGGTGAGAGAGGAGCGCTCCTCGGTTGGTGGGCACAAGATGGCAGAGAAGAAAATGCAGGAGGCAGTGACGTCGAATGTGAAGAGAGGGAAAGAGACGGAAGAGGGAAATATAGAGAGGGCTAGGGTCGGTCAGGAGGTAAGGAAGGAAGGAAGGGAGGATTTGGGCTTTGTTTCAGGGCCTTTTGCGGATGGGCCAAGCAGTGGTTGTAGTGAGAAAAATAAAAAGAGAGTGGAGTCCAAAAAGAGGAATCAGGCTACTAGGCCCAAAATCACCTCACCAATCCTTAAACGTAAGGCTGCAACCAGAATACACCAAGTGATTGCTGGGTCTTTATTAAAATCTGGCCCACTGAATTTTAACCAAGAAACCGTGAGGAGCTCCAATAGTCAAGCTCCGATGGAAGCTAAGATGATACATGGAGATTTGCGTAACCCACCGGAAAAGCCGCCGGATATAGCAACAACTTCAATCCATGAGGAACAAGGAAAAGATGCTACAGATGTTAATGACTATTGGTATGAAACCCAAGACGAGGTCAAAGAGGTTGAGGAGCTGGAAGAGAAGGTGGCAAATGGAGGACCGATGCTTTGAAGAGGTATTTGGTCTCTTTTATTTAATCTTCCAATCATTGTTTCCTATGAATGTGTTAGCTTGGAATTGCCGTGGTGCGGCGTCAAAAATTTTTCCTAGTAGAATAAAAGATTTGCTGAAAGGAAGGGATGTAGATATCCTAATTTTGATAGAAACTCGGGTTAGTGGCTTTAAAGCTGATAAGGCTATACGTGGACTTGGTTTCAATCACTGGATTAGGCTTGAAGCTACAGGGTATGCGGGTGGTATTTGGGTTCTGTGGCAGGAGGAGAATACTACTATAAATTATGTGTCTTCCTCTACTCAATTCATGCACATTCGGGTTGAACGTAACAATTTTCAACAACCTGTTTGGGTTACATGTGTTTATGCGGAACCATGTAGTATGTTGAGAACCCCTCTGTGGGAGGAAGTAGTAAGGCTGAGAAATGAGGTAGTTGGGCCTTGGTTAGTGATTGGGGATTTTAATGCGTACCTTTCCAGCGAAGACAAGAAGGGAGGGGCAGGGCCAAATGTTAGATCAATGCGTCAATTTGCAGATTGTATTCATAGATCTGGACTGATTGAAATTGACTCAGTGGGAGATAGATTTACCTGGGAAAGAAATAACATCAAGGAGAAAATTGATTGGGCTTTTGGAAATGAGGACTGGAATCAGTTTTGGCCACTTGCTAAGGTACATCATCTTAGCAGATACGGCTCAGATCATAGACCGCTTTTCCTGAAATGTGCGCCTGAAACCGGTCGTCAGAGGACTAAAACTCCGTTTAGGTGCCATGCTGCCTGGTTAATTGAAGAGGGCTTCATTGAAGTTGTCAAGAATGCTTGGGAAAGGGGGGAGTGGACAGAGAAAGTTCTTACCTTTGCCGAGAACGCTAGGTGCTGGAATAGAAATAATATTGGGAATTTATCTATCAAAAAAGGAAAGCTCCTACGCAGGATTGAAGGTATTGACAGAGCGAGATCAAGAAGAGATAACCAGTATTTGATGCAGTTAGAGAAGGAGTTATGGATGGAATATAATAAGGTTTTGGCCCAAGAAGAGCTGATTTGGTTCCAGAAATCTAGGTGTAACTGGCTTAAATGGGGTGATAAGAACAGTAAATATTTCCATAATTCTGCTATTATCAGGAAAAGAAAAAACAGAATTGAAGGCCTTAAGAAGGACAATGGTGAATGGTGTTTTGATCAACAAGAGCTGAAGAACATGGCCATGGATTATTATAGGGAGCTGTTTCGCAGTGGCATGAGAAACAATTTGGAGCTAACAACCGGCAATAGCTTTCCTACTCTTTCTCAAGTGGATACTTTGAGCTTGGCTACAGAAGTCACTGATGAAGAAATCAAGGCTGCCGTTTTTGATCTTGGGGCATTCAAGGCTCCAGGACCGGATGGTATACAGGCCTTCTTTTATCATGAATTTTGGCATGTTATTGGGGAATCAGTGTGTGGTCTGATCAAGGAGATCTTTAATGATCCTTCCCAAATAAGGAAACTGAATGATACCCATATTGTTCTTATTCCCAAGACAGAACAGCCGGAAACTATGAAAGAGTTCAGGCCCATATCCTTATGCAATGTGAGCTACAAGATTGTGACAAAGATAATCAGCAAAAGGTTAAAAGTGATTATGAACAAGGTGGTGGGTCAACACCAGTGCAGCTTTATTGAAGGGAGGCAGAGTAGTGATAATATCATTATAGCTCAAGAGGTTATGCATTCAATGAAGTTGAAGATGGGTCAGAAAGGGTGGCTAGCAATTAAAGTGGACTTGGAAAAAGCGTATGACAGGCTTGAATGGAGTTTCATCAAAGAAACTCTAAGGGCAGTGGGGGTAGAAGAGCAGTTTTGTGATCTGATCATGGCTTGCATTTCTAGTTCATCTTTTCAAGTCTTGTGGAATGGGGAACCGACAGAGTCCTTCTCCCCAACTAGAGGTATAAGACAAGGGGACCCAATGTCTCCTTATATCTTCACTTTATGCATGGAGAGGCTGAACCATGTAATCATGGATGCGATAGAGGAGGGAAGTTGGCAACCGATCATACTGAATGGTGGAGGGCCACAGGTGTCGCACTTATTTTTTGCCGATGATCTCATCCTTTTTGGGGAGGCTTCTAGCTCACAAATTGACACTATGCTTAGCTGTTTGGATAAGTTTTGCCTTGCTTCAGGCCAGAATATGAACAAGAACAAAACCAAGATATGCTTCTCTAGAAATGTCTATATTACAAGGGGTCTAGAACTTAGCGGGAGGATGGGAGTGGGTTTGACAAACGATCTAGGGAAGTACTTAGGAATCCCTCTAATCCACAAGAGGGCGTCCTATGTCACATATGCCCCTCTGGTGGAGAAAACTCATCGAAGGTTATCGGGTTGGAAGAGGAAGTGTCTAAACATGGCAGGAAGGTCCACATTGATTAAGGCAGTACTCTCAGCACTTCCGTCATACTATATGCAAACAATGCTGCTACTGAAGCGGTTGGTTGAGGAGTTGGAAAGGAAGAGTAGAGGATTTCTGTGGGGACAGCAAGAAGACCAGAGGAAACTTCATCTCTTATCTTGGGAACAGGTGACTAAAAACAAGAGGCAAGGAGGATTGGGAATTCGCAAGTTGAAGGAACAAAATGAGGCTTTTATAATGAAGATTTGTTGGGGCCTTATAGCTAACAAGGAAGCTCTTTGGGTCAAGATACTCTGGGGGAAGTATTGTTGCGGGACTCAAGACATGCCGGATGTGAATAAAAAGAAAAAGGCTTCTCTTACTTGGAGGGGTATTTGCAATGTTTGGGAGAAGTTCAAGAAAGGTGTGGGAAAGAAGATCGGGAATGGGACTTCTACTTCATTCTGGTATGACAACTGGTCGGAGCTTAATGTACCGCTTGTGGAGGTAGTCCCAGAATACGAAGCCTTTATTGATGGAAACGAGAAAGTTGCAGATTACATAGAGTCAGATGGAGAGTGGAATAGAAATAAAATGGAGATGTGGTTTCCCAGACATGTGATCAACAGAGTCCTTAGTGCACACCCACCCCGTGAGGAGAGAGGAGAGGACAGGTTTTACTGGAAACCATCTACGGATGGTCGTTTTTCTGTGAAGTCTGCCTATGAATTTCTTTTTGCAGGTACAGGGAGACAGGAGGACAGCATATGGAGACACATATGGAGATGGCGAATGATGGAGAAAATCAAGACACTTATTTGGCTTTTCTGTCATGGAAGAGTACATACATGCCAGTTGAGAAAAGAGAGGGGCATTGCAGAGACAGATTTATGTCAGCTTGGATGCCAACAAGTAGAAGATCAGATGCACTTGATACGAGACTGCTTGAATGCGGAGGATCGTTGGAGAGCAGTAGTAGAACCAACCAAATGGCAAACTTTCTTCTCTCTAACAGGTGTGGACTGGATTAGATGGAATCTCACCCATGAGGCAGGACGCCAGTTTACTAAGCGAGTACCTTGGAAGACTCTCTTTGGATACATATGTTGGGACATCTGGACATCTCGATGTGGTAGAATGTTTAGTGATCGAGAATTCAGTAACAGGAGAGATGCAAATGACAGCTTCTTTAGAGCTTGTTTGGATTACAATTTAGCAAGCAATTGTGAAGTTTACAGGGGGGAGCCTACTCCGAGGCAAGTGACGGAGGCTACTGATGCTTCTTTTGTTAAGCTAGAAGTGGATGGTTCGGTTCTTAGGAATGGGCTCAGCGGCTGTGGAGGAGTACTCAAAGACTATTCAGATAACTGGATATGTGGTTTTTGTGCTAAGCTTACTAATGTACCCTCAACCATTGCGGAACTGATAGGGATACTGCACGGTTTGAACTTAGGTTGGACTAGAGGGCATCGAAAGATTCTTATTTACTCAGACAGCATGGAGGCTATCAATTTGGCGATTCGGGGATGTGAAGGAAGTTACCCTTTTAAAGATTTAGTGGATGATGTCAGGTTTGCTATTAATAGAGACTGGTGTGTTGTTTTTTGTCATGTAGGAAGGGAATTGATCCCTCTTGCTGATTCTTTAGCTAAGTACGCCCATAGGATTGACGGAATTTTCTGCCTGTTTGATCACCCCCCTCCCGATGTTTCTGAGACGGACGGGGAGTAGTCTGTAGGGGCTGCTTTTTGTTTTTGTCTGCGTTGTTTTTTCTGTAGCTCTTTTTGTGTCCTTTTTCATTCAAAAAAAAAAAAACATTAGATTAGACCGGTAAGATTCGATCCAACACTGACGAAAGGAATAAAGGAAAAGAGCAAAGAGAAAAAAAAAGGTAGAGGAGAAAAGGCGTGCTCCTGCGCGGTGGCTGTACCTGGATGGCGTAGGACAGCCTGCAAATAGAAAGTAAGAAGATCACTCTCTGATTAATTCTCACCTTTTGTCTCTGTAATCCTTTTAACCTTTTCGTCCATTGTGATAAATAACTTGTTGATAAGCTTACTAGGGCCATAGAAATCTCAAATCGGGCCAATCATATTGCGGTAAATAACTCAGCTTTCTATGATCGTGATCCGTACCATCTGATATATTAGTATGTTAACTTGTTGTTGTACGGACTATTTTTATATTATAAAAGTTAGTTTCACGTTTAATTTGATTTTAAATATAAGGTTTTAACTGATTTTATTTGATATTTAATTTGATTCTAAATATAAGATTTTAAATATAAGCTAGAGTATTTTTTTAAGGCAGTCTCATAATAGTTACATATGTTAAATGTTTCTTCTAATAATAGTTATAATTAATACATATAATTAGCCGGTTAAAATGTGGACCTCCTATTGCATCCAAGCCTCTTTTTGCGCCCCACTGCTCCTATGTTTTGACGTTGTGCTTAATGCTTTTTTATACAGATTTTGTTTTCTTTGCTACATTTTACTATTGGGCTTCACAGTCACCTTCCCTAATATGTTACTGTTGAATTTTTTTTATGTGTCATTTTACTTAGTTTTTAATAAAATTCTTTTTATTAAAAAATTAATACAAAAATATTTTAGAA